AAGACCACTCTGGATCTCCCTGATTCTCTGGCTCACAGTGAGCCAAGATAGATTTCTAAAAAAGATGCTTAAAGGAGCATGAAAAAATATTTGAGAACTGTATTTCTGATAAAGGGCTTGTAACCAAAATACAGAAAGAACACTTACAACTCAGTAAGAACACCCAACAACTTAATTAAAAAATGGGGGAAAGATTTGAAAAGACATTTAACTAAAGATATAGGAATGACTAGAAAACAGAGGCATAGGTGCTCCTCCACATCATTAGAAGGGCAAGTTAAAAGCACAGCAAGATAGTATTTTATACCTACTATAATAGCTATTAAAAAAACAAAAAACCACACAAGCATCGGTGAAGATGTGGAGAAACTAGAACCTCACTCATTGTGGGAATATAAAATAGTGCAGCCATTGTAGAAAATACTTTGACAAATTCTTAAAAAGTTAAACATGGGGCGCCTGGGTGGCTCAGTCGTTTAAGTGTCCAACTCTTGGTTTTGGCTCAGGTCATGATCTCATGGGTCGTGGGAGTGAGCCGCACTCAGCGGGGAGTCTGCTTGAAAGATTCTCTCCCCCTGCCCCTCCCTCCACTCACATTCTCGTGCACGTTCTCTCACTCTCAAAATAAACTAATCTTTTTTAAAAAAAAAAGTTAAACATAAACTTAACATAGAGCCCAGCAATTCCACTTCCAGGAATCCACCCAAGAGAAATGAAAATGGATGGTCACCCAAACATTTGTACATTTTGAATGTTCACAACAGTATCATTCATAATAGCCAAAAAGTGGTAACCCAAATGTCCATTAAGTGGTGAATGGACAAAATGTGGTATGTCCTTACAATGAAATATTATTCAGTCATAAAAAGGAAAGAAATACTAATACATGTTATAGCCTGGAAAACATATTGCTAAGTGAAAGAAGCCATACACAAAAGACCATATATAATTGTATTTATATGAAATGTACAGAGAAGACAAATCTATAGAGAAAGAACATAGATAAGTGGTTGCCAGGGGCTAGGGTGGGGACAGGGAGTAGATTCAGCCAGGCATGAGGGATCTCTTTGGGGTGATGGAAATGTTCTCAAACTGACCAATGGTAAGGTTTGCATAACTCTGCAAATTTACCAAAACTCAGTGAACTGTATACTTAAAATGGGCAAACTTTATGGTAAGCTGTATCTCATTAAAGGGAGAAAGGGGGCTATAATGAGAGCTAAAACATGAGTATCTCAAGTCAAAGGCAATCTAAGGGCAGCTGAATGAGGGCCATTTAATGTCCTCTGGTAAAGAGATAAAGACTATAGAGACCAAACATGATGGCAACATGTAGCTTAACTAATCAGCCTTTTGGACAATACAGCAGCACTGGACAATATAATGCTGGCAGGGAGTTGTCTGTTAAGCACATAAGCTTGCCAACTGTTTTAACTTTAGAAACTAATGTTGTCATGCTGAGGTAGTGGCAAACATAGTATTGGAATGATTCTGGCAGTTTCTCAGTCATTTCTATTAACTCAAGAATTAGTCAAGAGACTAAGGAACTCATTAAATTGGAAGAATCCTCATATTATAGGTTTAGAAAATGGGAGTGAGGGGCGCCTGGGTGGCTCAGATGGTTAAGCGTCTGCCTTCGGCTCAGGTCATGATCCCAGGGTTCTGGGATTGAGTCCCGCATCGGGCTCCCTGCTCCTTGGGAGCCTGCTTCTCCCTCTGCTTCTCTCTCTCTCTCTCTCCCTCTGTCTCTCATGAATAAATAAATAAAATCTTAAAAAAAAAAAAGAAAATGGGAGTGAATCCCTAAGCAAAAAGGATCAGAATGGAGAACCATCCCTACCTGAATCTGATGATGAGACCAAAAGATGATTAGACCAATTTGCCTTCATAGACCTGATATTCATAACTCAAGTCTGGGAAGCAGAGGACTTGGGAGCCCTCTTCTCTTGGACCCTATTTTTCAACAGGACTCTTTAGGTATGGAAAGACAGTACTGAGAGGAGAATTAAATAAGTGCTTGATTCTTTGTGAAAGTCCTTAGTTCTAGGAAGAGTCTTAAGGAGAAGCAAGTGGAACAACTTATCTTCAATGTGAAACTAACCAAGTACCTAAATGAGGCACATTGGAGTCAGAGTGATCCATTCTCCAGGTCTAGAGCAAAAATAAATTCCACTTATGAATAACTGCTTCAAGTATACTTTAATCACAAGAAATTTCCTGAGGTTAAGATAAACCTAACTTCCTCTCACTGAACAAAAGCTCTCGCAAGACTGCAGCCCATCCTCTACAGGTGTGTTTCTGGAGAGGCGGTGGAAATTCCTCAGTGTGCATTTTTCTTATCTGCAATTACCAAATCACAGACACCCTGCTCTCCCTGCCTTAGCCACAATTCCTCCAGATCATGCTCAGCATGTCCTCAAATGAGAATCCGTGCCTATGGTGAGCACCTGTCATCCCCATCTTGTGACTAGGAGAGAAACATGGCTTAGAGCCATGATGTTACAGTTACTTAATAAGGACAGAACTTCTGTTAGTAAGGTCACTGTGAAGCAATGAAGCCAAATCTGATTCACCATACTCAGAGAACTGTAGGGAACATGTAAGGACCTTTCTTTGGGTCTACCTTCTTAACTTAAAACACTCACAAAGCAAACCAAAAAAGGAAGGGCAGAGGTAAAAAGATTAAGCTTCCTCAGTAGCTAGACAGATCCAAGATTTATTAGCTGCAATCACTGATTTCCAGACTATTCTTTCTGCCTTTCCTTCTTTAAAGTGTTTTTAACTTTCTCACCAAATGACCATTTCCTATCAAAAAGAAAGAAACTTTATCTTGGTCTTGACTGCAGGGTCACACACAGATATATCCTGGAACAAAGTCCAGTAACCATAGTCATACATGTAACTAAAGAGCATGACTCCCTGGAGTCTTGTAACAGAAGGAAAATATCAACTGCATTGTGGATCACTTACACAGGGGTCTGTTTCTCCATGCTTCCCTCTGGTACGGGTTTAAAGACATTCCAGATACGATAAAAGTGTGAGGTCAGCCTACAAATGCATCTGGCCATAGGAATCTGATCTCTTGGAGACTGAGACTGAGGAGTAGAGTTTAAGGGGGCAATCTCACTGCTGGCAAGGTTGCTAATTATGACCCCCCTCTTCCCTGCAGGCCTTTGGCTAAGACTGACCTCCCTCAGCATGAGCCAGCTGACAGGGCTAGAGAGGTGGAAGACAGGGTAACAGGCGCTCTGAGGCTAGCCAGACGTGCTAGGAGGCCTGGACTCCAGCCTGAAGTTGCCAGAGCTGGTCAAGAAATGCACTTTCAAGAAGGCAACTCCCATTTTTTTAAAGCTCTCTCTACTCCCTCAACTAAGTTCCTTTGATTTGGAGACAGTCTCAAACCCCGAGATTCTTTTTTCAAAAGTTAACAGATAAGTGGGGTTCCCAACCTGCAGAGAAACTCCTGTCTCAGGAAGGGCAGGAATACCAAATTTAAATGTAAGCTGCTTAATTTCTTTCTTGGTAAAAATTAATACTTTGCTACTTTTGAGCGTATCATCATGAACCAGAAACTTAGTGTGGGATGAAATAGATTGTTTTACGTATTAGGTTGTATTATGTATTAGGAACTGACTCAGTTGCCTTTATGAAATAGACATAGGTTCCACGAGTAGGAAAGGAAGGAGCTAGTCAGTGTGTAAGAAAGGGGAATTTCAGGCCTGAAAATGCCTTATTAGTCACCTAATGTGACTATATAATTTACTGTCAAAACTGGGACACTTTGGGAAAGAAAAGGACATTATAAATACTGATGCTAGGACAAGAGGGATAAACTGGGACTGACCCAGCACCCTGGGACAGGGAGTCACCCTACTAGAGTATACTCATTTCTCTATTCAAAATCCTTCAATGATTCTGCATCACTGCAGGGTGAATTTTAAATCACAGTCTCATCCCTAGAACTACGAATATGCCTCAGCTATGGCACATACCACACTGGATGACAATGGCTGATTTTCTTATGTCTCTCTACTCCTGCTAGTCTGTGAACTCAAGGACAAGAGTCTACATTGTGGGCCTTGATGCTCTACCTTAAGGCTCGTCACAAAGTAGCACTCGGTAAATACCAAGTGGCTTAGTAAAAATAATGGTTGCTCAACCTCCACCAACATCCTAAGGTCTTAGCGCTTATTTTCCTCCATCCATGCCTTTTCAACCCACATTCTGTATTTTGCAGGTGTCACTTCCTAGCTATGCAACTTGAGGCAAGTTAGTTAACCTCTCTGAGCCCCCATTTACTCACCTATATACACAGGAATCCTAATAGTATGTACGTCACAGGATTATTAGGAACCTTAAATGAGTTACTCTATGTAAAGTGCTTTAAACAATGCCTCATTCTCATAGTAAGCACCCAGGAAGCTTCTCAAAGGCAGAGAGAGTAGTCTCTTTTGATCACTGCTGTGTACCTACACCAGGAATAACCCCTGACAGAACAGACAGTAAGTATGATGAAAGCTTACTGACATATGCTTCTCTTCTGTTTTTCTCCCAATCCTTTGCTTTGCCTCACCAGTGCCATACACTCTACATCCCACAAACTCTACCAAAAACCTGGCACCATTCCCTTTAAAATGGGACATAGATGACTGACTGAACTCTCTATGCCAGCAGTCAGTCACAACCCTTTACCTGGAATAGATTACATGATACCCCTGAGTTTCCTGCCTACCAGCTGTTCAATTTTAAGTACAATGATTGGAAAAACAATTCCAAGAGTTTCTTAAGTCTGGGATTAAATGCACAAGCTAACTCTCAGGGTCAGGGCAGAGAGTAAGAAAAGATTACTACTACCTTGTGTTTCTACACTTAAGTAAGGAAAAGAACTACTTTGAGTACATACATTCAAAGATATACAAATTTACAAACCCTGTAAATCATAAACAGTAATACAAACTCAGCTTACTTTTTAAAATAAAATTTTACAAAAATAAAATTACCTAAAATTAAGCCCACCATTGTACTTAAATATCCGGTTCCACTTCCCAGGTTAAGAAAAGACAATCCTGGTTGAAGTTTCAATGCTTCCATAACTTCAGAATAAATGCAAGGTGCTGACAAGTGTATGTTCCCATGCTTCCAGGCTAAGTCTTTGTAAGCATTGTCTCGGTAGCCTTCCAAATAGTAATCTCCGCGATCAATCGCTCTGAAGGCTTGCTCCACTCTTTCAGTGCGGATATACTGAGCTTCTTTTAAGTTATCAATTAAGTCATCATTATCTTCCCCAGCACTCACAGCTCCTCCCATGATAGTATTCAAATCAAATCATAAATTTTAAAATGTAATAAAATTAGCAGAAATGGCTTCCAATAATGTAGTGTGGTTTGTTTTCCCTTTAATATTGCACTTGATTTCCAAAAATAAATTAATCCTGAAAGGGAAGAATAAAAATAAACAGGTTTAAATTAACACTCACAGGAAAGTAATTCCAGTTTATTAAATATATAATAGTCATTATAACTTTTAAAGGACATATTCTGTTCCAGGCAGTTTTAAGTTCTTTAAATATATTACTTTATTTATTCTTTTAACAATCACAAAAGGTAGCTTAAGTTTAATTTCATTTGTACAGATGAGAAATCTGGGACACAGAAGGGTTAAGTCACCACATACCATGAGGCCCAATTTGCTAGCCAATAGTCACGTGGCTACCTAGGCCAAAATTAAAATTAAATACAGTTTAAAATTCAGTGAGGCACACTAGCCACACTTCAAGTGCTTAATAGCTACATGTGGCCAGTACCTGCCACACTGAACAGAGCTGCTCTAGAAAGTGACACTGCTGGGACACAGTCCCAGGTCTTTCAGACTCCAGAAACCATGCTCTTAAGCATTAAGCCAGGTGGCCTTTGGAGTATGGTGAGTCTAGTTTAATATGAATGAATTACTTGATTGATTTAAAATTCCTAAACTTAAAAATCCACTAACACTTGAATGCTAAACATCTTAAATGCACCACATAAATTCAAAATGTTAACACAAAGTAACATATTACCTAAACACTGAATACAAAATATAAAAAAAAACAAAACAGATCCACATGTTTAAAATATAGACACCCACATACCCACAAACAAGTAGTATATATTAAGATTGTTTTATTTGGTAAGCCCTGTGGTGATAAATAAGGAGACCACAAATTTTATTAACAACTTTAATAGTATAAGCACTAGAACATATGTTACACACACAAGTACAATGAACTCCTTTAAAGTCAAATTCAGCATCTTTAAATGAAAACATAAGTGCAATCTGATTAAATAAAAATGTCAATACATCATAATGAACACAATTTAATCTTTATTCAACTATAGTTAGTAAATGAATTCATATAACAATTTCTGAATTAATAAATCAAGAGAAGGAAAATGAAAAATGAAATGCTGGGACACCTGGGTGGCTTAGTCGATTAAGCGTCTGCCTTCAGCTCAGGTCACCATCCCAGGGTCCTGGGATCGAGTCCCACATCGGGCTCCTTGCTCAGCAGGGAGCCTGCTTCTCCCTCTGCCTCTGTCCCTCCCCCTGCTGTGCTCTCTCTCTCTGACAAATAAATCTTAAAAAAAAAAGAAAGAAAGAAAGAAAGGAAGGAAGGAAGGAAGGAAGAAAGAAAAATGAAACGCCTGTGGCCAAAAACAAGAGTTATGACAGCCAACTCTGGCTGTATATTCACTCGACTTTAGAGAAGAAAAACAACTGATGCTTCGAGCTTCATCAGGGTCCTCACACCTCTGGCACCAAGCTGCCCCAGCACTACTAGAGCAGCTGCCTCACCAGGTCCTGTCCCTGTCCCCACTGCCTGCCTATGTCCTCTTTTGTACTTTCCTATGAGCTCCTTAAACTTTCTGAGTAAATATTGTGAACTCACGTCACACTCTTATTTAAACTTATTCAAACTCACTATACAAACCTGGATGGCTCCAAATGCCCCCCACACCCAAAAAAAGAAATAACTGAAAAAAATACATGGGCTCACAGCACCATTCTCCTCAATGAGTGTATTTTACAGCACATAGTGCAAGTGGAAACATCAATCCACGCTTCCTTCAACAGTCTTAGTTGGACATCCTTTTATAGCCCAAGCATCTCAACTTGCTGAGCACAATTCTAGCATGTAAAGGTTTTTTGTGTTTTTGTTTTTTTACTAACATGGCTTCTAAGCATAGGTTAACTTTTTTACCTGGTACTCAGAGTGAATTTCTTCCCAAGATGAAAGAAAAAGTGGCTATATTAGACTAGGAGGCAGCTTCAGTTGAGTCTCCAGTGTGGCACCTACCTCAGGAATTTAAAAGCCTAATTCTGACTATGCAGACACTTAATGGCTGTCCTGGAAATGCTCTATTTTACTAGTTTGAAAAATTATTCCACAGAGTGACCTAATCCTTCTCAGGTCCTTCTGAACTCTAACCTGTCCAAAAGTATCACAGCAAAATAAGCAAACGCTGACTTCACTACACAAAAGCACACACTCTTGGTGAGAAAGGCAAAGAAGTATCAAACCAACAAGAACTACTACCATTTGCTGATGGACACTGGGAATTAAAGGCTAAGGATATGGCTGGTATTAAAGCAAAAGACCAGATGACACTTTTAAGAAACTACACGTAGTTGGGTACCTTCCAAGCACCATATGACCTCTATCGTGTAGGCCAGTGATTTTTCTTTTTTAAGCCTGAACCCTTTTGAGAATCTGATATTTCTGGCCCCTTTCTCTAATTAAAAAATGAATGAATGAGAAGTTTTACAACCAACTTCAGAAGGATCCTGAATGTCTACAGACCCATGAGTTGAATCTAATTTAAGAACATCTATTAGTTGCAACAGAGTCAGCCACAGATACTAACAAGGGAGGGAGAATTACATTTCCATTTTAGAAAGTGCAGTGTAATTTGTGTTTCTGAACTACTGCAGCAGACCAGAGACCAGGTACTCAGAAAGCTGGGAAACACATCACCTTGTTAACAAGGAGCCACGCAAAAATTTGAAGCCAGATTTGCCGGACTCTTTTCTATTTTGATAGGAAAGACAAATACATCTGGACATAAAGCTGTAAGGTATCCAGGAGGGAGGTGGTCAGGAAAGGTTTTCTGGAATAGGATGTGCAATCTGCTACAATGCATCGTTTCTTTAACGCAAATTCTTAGCTCACATTTAGTATATAAGGTAATGATGTGCAGATAATGAAGAAGTTGTGGTGGTTGCCATGTTCATGTTTCGAAGTGACAGCTTACACATATTAAAAAGATGGGTGTTATATGCAAACAATGAACCATGGAACACTACATCAAAAACTAATGATGTAATGTATGGTGATTAACATAACACAATAAAATAAAACTAAAAAAAGAAAGATACCTTAGCGACTTAAGAAAACTTCCAGCAAAAAGCTAAAAATAGAGAGTGCCTACCTCTAAGGCAATTCAAAGGGTCTAGGGAAGCTGTGAATGCAGATGAAAAAAATGTTAAGACAATGTCTCTGGATTAAAGCAACAGACGAATTGAGGCTATACCCAGATTCAGATTTTTAAATTTTGATAAAAATATACATGTGCAAATAAAATATCCATAACCAAATTATCTTCCAGAGCCTAAATTTCAGAGGAAGACGAACCTTAGGGTTTAAGGCTATGAAGGACTGACTGACTGTAATGCTACGTGCAAATTCCAGTAGATTTAGCTATGCTAAAAATTTTATTAGGATTGCTATTGTTCTTGTTGGTAAATTGGTTACACAGTTGCACAGGTTTTCAGTGGTATGTTCCGAGGCTATTTTTCCCACAAGTCCTGTTGTTTTGCAAAACATTAGTAGGTGTTTTCAGATGTTATAGAAAACCCCAGTACTGGACTTCTCAGGCCCTTGAAAGAATCTTAGGAAACCTGAGGGACCTCAGGAGAAGAGCTGGCATGAAAAACTACAAAATGGGATGAGCAGAGCCATGGTAGAGTTATACAGGGGTGTTATGGAACACCAGCCCAGACACGGGGGTGGACACAAAAGGTTAGGAAAATTTTCCTAAATATGAAGACGTGGTAAGCACAGAGGCAGAAGGAAGGAGAGGTGTTCAAAACAAGCAGAAAAGACAAGGAGACAAGAGGCAATGCCCCCGCCCACTTAAGGCACTACAAATAGTACCGAAGAGCTGAAGTGCAGGAATAGAAAGCAGTACTTGGTGAGGCTAAAACAATAAAGAGGAATGAAAAATGAAGCTTGCAGGCCACACACACACATGGAGCTTGGACTTCCTCCCACAGACAATGGAGCCAGCAAAGGCTTTTTAAAGAATGAGAAACATACTGTATGACTAATTTTAAAATAAGATGTAAAGGAAAAACCAAAACTGTAAAAGAAAGAGAATATAATTATACATTATTTGGTCTGGGGAAGACAATGTTTACATAGTCAGAACAGTGAAAACACAATTGCTGATTCAATTTGAATAGTCATTTAACCATAATAGGAGGAAAGGGAAGAGGTAAAGAGGGGTATGGAAGTTAATACCTCATCTGTGATTATAGGAAAGTAAATGCTATCTAAAATTCATGAATTTAAAAAGAGCATCTTAGTTAGCAACATGGAGGTAACTTCCCTACTATGAAATAGCCGAATGCATTAAGATCCCCCCAGAGTGTGAGCCTCCAGGTGGAAACAGGTAAAGCCAGGAACTGCTATACTTTGTCTTCAGGGTATCACCTGACTTTCTAAATTGTGTACATGCATTATTTGAACAAAACTGACAAGTAAAGCTGAAAATAAAGGGAATACTTAAATATATATGTGTGTGTATTTTTTTTTAGACCAGAATAAGATAAAAGACACACAGAATATAATTTCCTAAGGAATAAAAATACATTTAGCAAATAGACTACAGTAGAAAAATCAAAGAACAAAAAAAGAGAGAAAATACAGTAACAATTTATACTACAGAGCTTCAAAGATAAGTCATTTTATCATATACATAGCTTCTGATAGTGGGTGGAAAATGAATTATTATAAATTACATTTTCATAACGCTGACCAATTCAATGATAATATTATGTGCATTTGTAGAAAATTTGAAAACAAAGAAATAAAAATTATTCATAACCCTAATATTCAAAGAGCCACTGTTGGGCGCCTGGGTGGTTCAGATGGTTAAGCGTCTGCCTTCGGCTCAGGTCATGATCCCAGGGTACTGGGATCGAGTCCCGCATCGGGCTCCCTGCTCCTCAGGAGCCTGCTTCTCCCTCTGCTTCTCTCTCTCTCTCTCTCTCCCTCTCTCTCTCCCTCTGTCTCTCATGAATAAATAAAATCTTTAAAAAAAAAAAAAGCCTTTAAAAAAAAAACACAAAGAGCCACTATTAATATTTACTTTCTAAGCATCTATACGCTTTCTTAACACAATATTACTATTATACTGTATATACTATTTCAAACTTTTGCTTAATATGTCTTAAGCATTTTCATGCCATTAAAAATTCTTCCAAAATCCAAGTGTGATATCCTACCACATGGAGGCACCAAAATGAAATCAGTCCCCTAACTGCGGGGCCATGAATTTTGGATTATAATTAATATACATGTGAGGAGTTTGCAAGTTAAAATCTGTAATAAATATTGTGGTAATTCAATAATAATCCCCTAACTTGAATTATACTTCATTTTTTAAGAGTAAAGCAAACACTATTAAAAAGCCATTACAGCATTAAGTCATGGAAGCATTTGCCATTTGTTAATTCTGAGATAATTTCATCTCAATCATGGAAAAGTGCCAAATACAAGTCAAGAGACCAAGGTCTAGCCTTGATCCCACTGATAACTTTTCTGTATGGCTCTGGGCAGCTCTCCAGAACATCATTTCCTCACCTGTGAAATGAAGAGACTAAATTCTATGATTCTTAAGGTTCCCCAGAGCTCTAATTTCCCTGCTATTTTGGCATCAAACCCATATTTGAGTACAGCTCAGTTTTAGTTATCCAGGAATGTCGGTCCATGCCTCAGCATCTCTGTTACCTTGGTCACATTTTTTGGTGCCCCACTCCTGCCATTTTCTCTAACATGGAAAAGAAAAAAAAAATTAGGTATGTTCAAGTCCTGCATTAAACAAGAAAAGGTAAAGGCAAAAGAGAGAAGCGTCAGAAAATAAAAGACAGAACAGCTTACATAGTTATGTCTGTTTGAGAAGGAAGTTGTCATATTTACTCACAGAACACAATTTCACTCCTTGGCATTTTCTTTCTAGTACCTGTGTTTGGGGTACATACATTCACATAAGCTCACCTGAAATGATTTGCAAGGTGTTCCAAAAGTGGCTTCTAGTCTTTCAAAACAAGATATGTAGCTTTAATGTATTTTGTTTAGGGGAAGACCTACTGAAGGCCCAGGTCAATATTACGGTGTCTTTCAGGCAGCTTAGGGATGTTTTATGGAAGGTTAAAGACAAGTCAATGGAGGCAGGAAGCAAACAGATGGCAGACAGATGTCACAGAGTTGGAGAACAGAATGAATGCCGACTCTCTTTCTTTCCTTCCTAGCAACCGGTGGCAAGCAGCCAACTGCTGCTTGCTGCTCCTTTCTCTGCAAAGGTGAGGACAAAGCTCACCCAGCTTTGGAAGTAAAGGAGACTGGTGATTCAAAGGAGAACACACCATTTGAGGGCATGAACAAAGCAATCTTTCTTCCTCATGCCCTCAAAGACCTTGTCATGGGGGTCCTGCAAGAAGGCTGCTTTCAGTGTGGAGACAACGACACAGAAGAAATTTTCTCAGTGACGGCAAATAGCTATGATGAGACATAAATACAGAATCATGAAAGACAAGAAGAGGCTAATGAAGGGGTTCAGAACAAGTCTCCCCAAAATGTACTACTTTAACAAGTGGACCATTTTGAGCTGAAGGCAATCAAGACCCTAAAAAACTTTTACCTCCCTTTAAACCTACCTAAAAGAATTTAGGTAAGGAGCCTGGCCCAGAAAGAGAGCTATTACCAAGACACCTTTTTTTTTTTTTAATCTGAATGACCTATCTGTATAGCAGGACAAACATCTAATTACCAAACATCTGCTCTTCTTAATCGTCCTGTGAATCACCTCCTCCCCTGTGACATCCCAGGCCCCTATCCTACTTCTTCGCTCCTGATGGCATGTAAGCCTCAACTGCCTGCCCAGTTTATCCTTGGGTCTCCCCGTCTTTGTGGAGCTCCCATATATATACAATTAAATTTTTCTCCTGCTAATCTGTCTTATGTTAATTTGATTATCAGACCAGCCAAAGAACCTAGAATAGTAGAAGGAAAAATTTTTCCTCCAACATTAAAGTAAGGTCCACTACTCATTGTGCCAATCTTATTTTTTTTACTAGTAATAACATATACATGCAATTTCCTATTTCTCTACTACATACAGGCACTGGGCTCTATTTCTTCACCAAAACTCTATGAAGAAGCACTAACTTCATTTTACTAATGAGGAAACCAAAGTTCGGAGAGACCAGGAGACAAGCTCAGAGCTCGTAGTAGCTGAGCCACAACTCAAATCCAGTTTGGCAAGCCATAAAATCCTCCTGAAGCAGAACAATTTGCAAAGAGGCCCCTGGCCCATAATTCGAAGGCAGACTTTGTGTCCCCTTGCCTGAAAAGATTCAGATCTCTCTCTCTCTCTCAAACTCTCATTTCCTCTTTTTCCTCCCTTTTAGTACTCTTGGTTCCAAAAAAAGAATGGAATGGTGGAAATAAAGCAGCTGATGTCATGTACTGACTGCAGCCTCAGGCAAATTATTTAACCTGTGATCTTCAGGTTCCTTGCCTATAAAATGGGAAAAATAATAACCACAGCATAAATTTGTAAACAGTGAATAGTGCACCGCACATAAAGCTCCTAATGTACACATGTCCAATAAGTAATTCACTTTCTTTCGCATCTAGGACAAAAAAGACACATTTGAAACCTTCATTCGTAAACCCAGAAGACCAGAAAGGGAAAACAAAAAAAGTGTCAGTTCTGAAATCTAGTGATCACCTAGTGACTTCCTTAAGACAGAACTACAGAATGAAAATGTAAATCCTAAAGTTAGAGGTGTTAGGAAAAAAAGCCAAGAACAGTGTATACAGAAGCAAAAGGAAAAATATAGCCATTTACATGTAAGTTGATTGAGAGAGGTTAATGTAAAAACAAAACAAAACAAAAAACCCAAAAAACAATGCGGTGCTTTCTCTATCATGCTCTGGGCCACAAACTCAGCCAAGAGGCCTAAATTAGGACCAGCTGCCCTCCGTACTCTCTTACATGGGCTCAGGCAGCAGTCAGGTACTGAACCTCTCTTCGGTAGCTTACTAGCTAACTTCCACGTGTGCTAATTTTCTCTAATGGAGCATTTGTTATATAAATTAGCAAAAATTAGCTGTCTTGTACAGTTTTCTTTGGTTTGACACGTTTTCTGTCCAAACTGCAAACTCAATAATAATAAAGATAAAATAAAATGAAGATAAAATATTTAAAATATTCATCACACTTGTAAAGGTGTTAGCAAGCATTTAATAAATGATGATTAAACATAAAACACTGTAAGAGTAAATTCTAGCTTTCTACTCCAGGACATTCTTTCAAATTTTAACATACCTAACAGCTACAGCTAAGTGAAAGTTTATTTTTCCTTCATAGTCCCTTGAACTCTGGAATCTTCATAAACCACTGTCTCAAGATAATTAAAGATTATCTGCTTGCTCCCCAACCCTTCAATTCACTACTACAAATTGTTTCAAATAACAAAAGAAAGTTCTGTTGGAAGCAAGTAGGTTCTGTATTTTAATATTTGGCAAGTTTTAAGATGCCTATATTCATAGATGTAGACTTTTCAGTCATATTTTCAATTCTATTCCAGTCTTGCTTCCTATGCCTTTTCCTTCTCTCTACCTCCACCCTCATTCTTTTAATTTTCCTATTTTCCTTGCCTGGGGCAGTGAAGATCAGCATAAATTCAAAACAAGATGGAGAAACAGTAGGAGATAGCTCTATGGGAGTTCAAGGTATAGGATATAAAGGGATGGGGGAATATAAAACATTTTTAAAGGACAAGAGGAGGCAACTTAAGCTGAAATTTCATCATTTTGAAAGTTACAGGATTTCATGTATCTCCAGTGTCTCCTCCACTCCTTTTACTTAAACATCTGAATATATGACCTCTTTAAACCTGTATCACTACACAAGCATGTGTCCGTATTCCTAAACACAGTCATACCCATATACTACAAATGCCCTCAATATGCAAAGTTCCATGTATCTTTGAGCTAACAAAATCATCAGAGAATAACTGTCTCAGATTTTAGGATTATTGCTTAACATCTTCAATTTTTCAAGAAATATAAGAAGTACTCTAGTAACCATCCTTAACACTTAAAAATATTCCTTACAGAAGCTACAGCCTAGAAAACCTTTCAAACAGAAGAACTGTTTACCTCCTGTAACTCCGGAAAAGTCTGAAGCAGTGAGCTAACAAAATCATCAAAGAATAACCGCCTCAGATTTTAGGATTATTGCTTAACATCTTCAATTTTTCAAGAAATATAAGAAGTGCTCTAGTAACCATTCTTAACACTTAAAAATATTCCTTATAGAAGCTACAGCCTAGAAAACCTTTCAAACAGAAGAATTGTTTACCCCCTGTAACTCAGGAAAAGTCTAAAGCAGAACACTGAAATGACTACTGAGCTTTCTGGTTTTAATCCATTACACGACAATGTTCTTAGGAAGTAATGAGATCAATAAGGAAGCATGAGAGAAGGACATAGACATTTTTGGCTCCTCTTGGGTCAGGCTTTTAAAGTTGGGCTTATTTTATTTGAAAAATTTTGAGTTCAAAAAGAACAATATTCAAATAAAAAATAAAACAATAGTCCAAAGCAAAATTCCACAATCTGGGAGTTCGGATGGTCTGTATCTGTTCCCTTCCACTAGTATATCACAAACCAATATACGAGCTCACACCAAAGATATTCTTTCTGCGTATTATTGTACTGTGGAATGCAAAGACTGGCCTTGTCACATTATGATTTTGAGCAAATTGTTACCTTTCCTGGCTTTGGTTTTTTCACCTGGAAGATGCTGTCACTTAATCAAATTGTCTCAATGGCACCTGTAAAAACTTTAAAAATGTCTAAGTGTATTTGCTATACAAAGATAAAGAATATAAACAGGTTAACTATAAAGTTTTTTTGGCCTTATAAAATGGCATCTTTCCAAAGTCCAAGATGATCATTTTATCTATGGACAGGCAGTGAAAGCTATATAGAATAAAATACCTAGTTATATATCATTCTTAATTTTTCAGTGTTTCAATAGCAACTCATATAATTTCATTAACTACCCCAAGGTATTTACACAGGACAGGTGGTATTACCTGCACCATGCAAATGAAGAAAACCAACTGAGAAAGAACAAATTGGATATTTTGGTCTTATTCATAGATCTAATGGCATGCACTACCACTAATATTCACATTATCAGAAATAAGAAAACACAGCAACTAGAAATGTAGGTCTAAGACCTGACAAATACACACACACCACATTTGATACTAATACCTTCATCTCATTTATTGGGACAAATAATTCTATCCCTATTTTTACTCATGACCCAGAGAAAGTTTAAGAAGTTCTTTAAAATAAACTGTAATCAGGGATGCCTGGGTGGCTCAGTCAGTTAAGCTGTCAGCTCAGGTCATGATCCCAGGGTCCTGGGATTGAGCTCCATGTCAGGCTCCCTGATCAGTCTGCTTCTCCCTCTGCCCCTTCCCACTGCTCATGCTCTCTCTCTCTCAAATAAATAAATAAAATCTTTAAAATAAAACTGTAATCGTAAGATCACCATAATTCTATAGGCTCTAAAGTAATGGCTAGGAAGCACACCTTAATTTCAAATGATTACTCTTTCATCAATAGTTCTTTGT